CCCGCCGGCGGTTCGTGGGGGCCGCCCGCCGTTAACCCCTTCGCCCCCCGCCCCATCGCCCCCCGCGGCCGGCCAGCCCGATGTGACGCTCCTCGCTCAATGCCCAGCGCCCAGAGCAGACACCCCGCAAGCACCAGGGTCTTTGCGCAGCCCCGTGTCCCCCCCAAAGACATCCAGCCCTCGGCACCCCTCTCTGCGCAGGTGGGTTTCCTTCCAGGGGGGGTTCCCAGCCTCAAACCCCCACCCCGGCTCAAGAGACCCCCGAGGTTCCTCCGTGGTCCAGGGGCAAGAGAGCAAAGTCTGGGGGTGCAAGAAAGGGGGTGCTCCCTCCTGCCCCCCCCTTCCTGCTGCCCAGCCCCGGGGATGGGCACGGCTCTCCCAGCTGTCTGGCGCCTACCAGATATTTCTATCCCATGGCACCCGCTGCCACCCATGCCATCAGCATGACACAGGCACCCGGCGGTGCCATGGCTGCCCCCACCCTGCTGCTTCAGGCCATGGGAGCCCGAGGGGCAGAGCCACATGGCTGTGGGTCCTGGCAGGTCCCGGTGGGCATAGGGCACCCGCATCCCTGGATGTGCATCCCACAGTCACCCCGGGGTGGGCACGGGGACGAGGGACAACCCGTGGCCACCCTGGGACCGGTAGCAAACCCACGGCCCGTGGAGCGTCAGGCCATGTGGGGGAACCGTGGGGCACGAGGTGGCCCGGATGGCCGTGATGCAAAGGAGCGTGGCAAAACACCGCTGCGGGACACCCTCACCCGATACGGCTGGTCTGCGCCGGGCACCGCTCAGCCCTGGCACGGGTCCCAGGGGACCCAAGGGGGCACCAGCACAAAGCCGCACCACCGCTCCCGCCTGCCTCCCGCCTGCTGGCCAGCAGCCACCATCCTTCCCTGCCCGCGCCAAAACCTCGCCGGGGGAGGCGGGTGGCACCTGGACGGGCCCCGATTCGCCCTGATTGCCGTTGGGATGAGCCTCCAGCCCTAGGATGCCACCGCCACCCCGGCTCCCGGAGATGGCTCCTGGCACCATCGGATCGGA